CGCCACCCTGCGGAAGCAATAGCCATCGACTCCATTCAATTCCATAGCAAAAAAGTCCGGAGTAAGCCCTGAGAGAGGACAACCAATCAGAGAGCGAGCCGAGTTCGCGCTCAGAAATATAGCCAATTAAAGAGCGAGGGTGCCGGCTCGCGGATCTGCGGGATGCGGGGAGGGGACTCGGCGCCAACGCGAGCTCACTCGCCAATCAGAGCCGAGAATGACTGTATCGCGCGGCTGTCTAACACGGAGTGGGCGGAGCTCAAACGCAACGCTGCTGGAGTTTCCCCACGAATCGGAAGTTTCGCTGCCCCCGACGCAGGAGTTGATTGGTCACTTGCAGAACTTGCCTCCCAATGTTGGAAAACGGATGCAGGACATTCCCTTAGAGACACTAGAGCCCGCCTCCGCTCCCTAGCGTGGGAGGAAGGCCTTAAAGGGCCAGGTTCTTGGTAAGTCGACGTCGGACCTCTTCACAGAAATAGAAACAGTAGCAGAACAAAATCGAAAGCCATTCCATTATGTTGGAATTGACCAGGAAGGGCTATCTCTCGAAGAAACAGGGGACCCCAAAAGTTTAAGCAGTTTGCTTTAGGTCACGGACTTGTAAGTAGCGGAGCGGGGATTCGAACCTTCATTTCCAAGGCCTGTGTCTCGACAAAATAGCCACGCCTCTCTGGGATACGACATAACCAAAGGATGAGACCCAAATCCTAATCACACTCGCTGAGAAAGTCTTGGCTTCAATGATCAAATCTTTTCGGTCCAGCCACCTGGCCTTTGCTCACACCATTTCTTCTCACTCTAGACCTAGCCCAAAGGCCACCTCCCCTAAACAAAACAAAACACACAAAAAACCAAAAACGAAACCAACCAACCAACCAACCCTGCCCCTTGCTGGCAGGCAGCAAAGTTTTCCTGACCCCCTTCCCTCACGTCACCCCTTTGCCCCCAGGCAGCATTCCCTTCCCTCCCGGGCTTGGGGCTCTCACTGGCCTGTTCCAGTGTCCCGGCTCTGATGGCCCTGGAATGTTACCGTCGTCCATCTCTGTGCCTGTCCCCCACCCCTCCAGTCAGCCCTTCAAGGACAGGTGATACCTCCGAGCCATCAGCATCATCCAGCACAGGACCTGGATTGGAGAGAAGGGCAAAAAGTGAAAGCTCGTATCTGGGCTTTCCCTTCCCTAAGGTGGGATGTCGTGAACCTTCTAGTTAAAAAAAAAAAAAAAAAGAAAAGAAAAGAAAAAGAAAGAAAAGAAAAATCATATTCACTGGTCTGGCTGAAAACTTTGCATTATCCTCGATTCCTCATTAACTTATCACCCCCAGCAGCCCTGCTTGCTACAGGTTCTAACAAAATACCTTCTAAATCCCTTCACATCTTCCCATTCCCACTCCCCTCCCTACAAGTCACTGCCACCCCTTGCCTGGAGGATAGTGGCAATTTCCCTGGGCTTCCTGCAACCACTCTTGGCGTTCACCACAGCCTATTATTCTCCAAACCGCTGACACTGTGCTTTGCTTAAAACATAAATCAAATTATGTCACACTTCTGCTTACAAATGTTCAAAGTCATCTCAATGTTCTAAGAAAAAAAAAAAAAAAATCCAGTGTCTCCACTGCAGCCTACCAGGTCCTACATAATCTGGCTCCTGCTCGTGTCTCCCATCAACAGCCCAGATATGAGTCAGGCTGTGGAGTTCAGATCTCACTTGTGCCACTGACTAGCTCTGTGACCTCGAGTAACTTACTTAGACCCCTTGAGGCAAGGTCTGATCACCTGTGAAGTGAGGATTAAATGAGTTAGAATTACTAATTAAAATAGACCTCTACTGTATAAAATGACTAACTAGTATTCCTCAAAATGGTCAAGGTTGTGAAAAGCCAGCAAAGACGAGAAGCTGCTGTACCACAGACGAGTCTGGTAAATGGTATCCTGCATCAGTTCTAGAACAGAAAATAAGAGGACATTAGTGTGGGAACTGGTAAAATCCAGTAAGTCTGGAGTATGGTTAAGTCATGTTAGTTTCTTAGTTGCAATGAATGTTCCACGACAATGGAAGAAGATACACAGTAAGCAAAGCTGGGTGAGGACTATATGGGAGCTCTCCTTATGATCTTTATAATTTTTCTGTAAATATAAAAGTATTCCAGGGGCCCCTGGGTGGCTCAGTCGGTTAAGCAGATGACTTCGGCTCAGGTCATGATCTCGAAGTTCATGAGTTCGGGCCCCGTGTAATGACAGCTTGGAGTCTGGAGCCTGCTCCGGATTCTGTGTCTCCTTCGCCCTCTGCTCCTCCCGGGATCATGCTCTGTGTCTCTCTCAAAAATAGATAAACATTAAACAAATTTTAAATAAAAGTATTCCAAAAGAAAAATTGTATTTAAAAGCAAAGAGACCTATCCCTCACCCCCTCCAAGCTCTGCCCTTCCCAGTGCCTCAAACACTGTGTTCCTTCCACCCTCAGACCTTTGCACTTCCTTTTCCCTCCACTAGGAATACTCAACACCAACGTCTTCTGGCTCCTTCCACAGTAGCCTTCCCTGACCATCTTATTCAACTAAACTCACTGCCCCCTGTGCTTCTCTGTCCCCTTGCCCTGTCTTCACATTTCCACAGTCCTTATTCTTTTAAAAACATTTTTTTTTTTTTAGGTGTGCCTGTATGCCTCAGTTTGTTAAGCATCTGACTTCGGCTCAGGTTATAATCTCAGGGTTGGTGAACTCAAGCCTCCTGCTCTGTCAGCACAGAACCTGCTTCAGATCCTCTGTCTCTGTCTCTC